CCTTGCACACGGCGAACCTGGGTTTGATTCCCAGCATCCCAGCATCCCATATGGTCCCCAGAGCACAACCAGGAGTGATTCCTGAGTGCAAAGCCAGGAGTAACCCCTGACCATTGTTGGGTGTGACCCAAAAAACAAAAAAAAAAAAGAATTTATTTTTAAATTGGATAAAAGTCAGTCACTTATTGAAACTAATTAAAAACAAAAGTGAAAAAATGTGTATCTGAACTTATTCTTTGTATTTTATTCTTCTCACCTCTTTCTTGACATCTCATTGTATAATTATGTTTTATTAATTATCTATTAATTAGCATTCACTTAAATATGTCTTATTAAAAAGTAGACTTGATTTTAAGTGAACTAAAAAATGGTCATTTGTTGAATTCATTGAGGTTTATGTTCTCATTGTATGCTAGAGGACAAATTACAGATCCTCAGACTTGTTTTATCATTATAATAAAAGTAATGCTTATATTTGCAGCGCTATTAAAATTTTACTCTGACCCATATAAATGAAGCATCTCCCTACACAGATTTTTTCCCCAAACATCTAAATTTTATATTATACATATAACAATGAGATAGGTTTTTTAATAAAACATAACCAATGTTAAGAAAAAAATTAAAAATCAGGTTCCTGTGTTTTAATTTTTCAGGGTACATTTTTAGTACTTTACAGAGAAAATTAGTTATATGTCTCCCACTAACTTTTTGGATTTGTTTGTTTGTTCGATTGTTTGGGGGTACACCAGCAGTGCTCGGGGTTTACTCTGGTTCTGTACTCAGGGATCACCATTTGACTGGTGCTTAGAAGACTGCATGGGATACTGGGGTCAAACCTGGGTCAGCTGCATGAAAGAAAAGTATATTACTGCTATACTATCTCTCTGGCCCTTTCCCATTAACTTTTTAAAGAACCTTAGTAGAAAAATGTATAGTAAAAAACTTTTAGATATTCAAACATAAGTGGAGTTTACTATTTTTTTCCTTTGGAACTTCAGTTTTGACTACCTTTTAATTCTAATGGTCACATGGAATAATGTCAATAAAAATTATGAGCATGTCTTTTTCCAAGTTTTATAAGCCCATGTTTTCTGTACATTTGCCCCTAAAAAATGTACAAACAATGTTTCATATAATTGTAGGTTCAATAACAAGCAAATTCAAGTACTAAGTTTGTTTTAAAATGTGAGTCTACATGGGACTGGAGCAATAATACAATGGGTAAGGAATTTGCATTGCATGTGACTGACCCGGGTTCCATCCCCAGCATCCCTTATGGTCTCCTGAGCTCTGCCAAGAGTGATCTCTGAGCTCAGAGCCAGGAGTAAGTCTTGAGTACAGCTGAATGAAGCATGAAAACCAACTAGTTAATTCGTTAACTAAGAGCATATTGCTTCATAGATTTTTCTCTTTTTCAGCACTTTGGTATCTCTTTCACTACCTGAAGTTAAAAGGAAAAATCCAAAAACGCACGAGATTGAATCCAGAAAGCATGTTTGTGTGGGTTATCAATACACACTTCAATACTTCAAATATTTTTTGAAAAGACAGGGAATATCCATTTATTAACACATAGCTTCTGTGATATATTTTGAGTACTGAATCTAAAATATTACTGTTTGTATTTTTTTGGAAATGAGTTAGGTAATCACATTTATCATTCTAATCATATATAAAGCAAGCCAGAAAATGAAAAATATTGAACTTTGATAAGTTAGAAATTAATAATTAACTATAGATAATTGATAATATATGAAAGAACTCAGAAATTATTTCTTGAGTTTACAGATTACATGTAAATTTTGAAATTTATAATTTATCTAAATGTTATATGTAATAAATAAGAAAGTAGGAAAACTGATAAATCAATTTTAAAAGTCTAAAATAAAGAACTTTCATATTATTTAAATTCAAATTTACATTTTCTATATCTTAAGTCTAAAACATACTTCAGAACACATTATTATATTTTAAAGATTCTAATTAGAACTAATCAAACAAAAGTGGGTAGAAAAGGGAGCATGATTATTTTTCTTTATATAAAATCTTTAATGCAGAATTAATTGCAAATATTGAATGCATTTTACAAATAGAACTCTAAAAGAAGATCGCAAAACTACCTATACTAAAACACTACCTATTTGCTAACTTTTAATTGGCCAACTAAGAGTTTTTACCATTATTGGTTAGAATTTAAGAACTTACAAAATCTTTATAGGAGTGCATGATTTTCATATTCATTGTTCCTACATGCATATATGTGTATAGATAATTGCTATGCTTTGTACCAAGGATATGAACTGTGTAAAATTACTGTAGGAAGTTGTAAATGATGTATGAAATGAGAAATCTTTGCCCACTGGCAGTACATAGATAGAACAGATAGTGATGAGCAATCTCTTCTCTGTCATTTGTCATAGTATTTATCTTATAAAAGGCAGAACATATCAATAAACCTGACTGTCAAACTTGCATACTAAACAATGTATTTTATTTGTCCTTTTATTATTCTTCATTTCTTTCTTTAGAAAGTCTATAAAATCTTTTGTTGCCCAAATTAAATATAAACACTCCTATAGTTAATGCTTTTAATTACCCATCTCAAAATAATCATACATGGAAATTCCAAGTATTACTGTTGCATGATGTATCTCCATACTTGCATTAAGTATAAAGTAAGTAAAGTAAAGGCCTTCCCGTTGATCATCGATTTGCTCGAGCGGGCCCAGTAACGTCTCCATTGGAGACTTTGTTGTTACTGTGTCTGGCATATCGAATATGTCACGGGGAGCTTGCCAGGCTCTGCCGTGTGGGCGAGATACTCTCAGTAGCTTGCCGGGCTCTCCGAGAGGGGCAGAGGAATCAAACTCGGATCGGCCATGTTGGCTGCGTGCAAAGCAAATGCCCTACCGCTGTGCTATAGTTTAGTCTTTTAGATTTCCTTGCAAAATAAATAATTTTTTGTGAAGATGTATATCCAATGCCTCAGTGACAAAGTCCAAGACACAAACTTTCTAAGAACTTAAAAAGTTCTGAGAACAGGAATGATAACTTCAACTTCTGTTCTAATGTCTGAAAGAGTTCAGAGTTTAGTCTGTTATTGGCTGGCAAAGCAAATGAAGGAGGCCTATTTCTCCTGAATTAATTTTATTATAAAACCTTCCTGTCTGATTTTTCAATCCCACTGACCAATAGCTAAATCAAACATTTTATCAAACAATTTTGATAGGGGCTGAAAATCAGGTAGGAACTTACATTGATCAAGGCCAACCCTACTTTGATCCCAAGCAACCCATATGGTTCCACAGGAACCAGAAGTAATCCCTGAGCAGAACCAGACTTAAGCCTTTAGGGCCACCGGATATGGCCCAAAAAACAAAACCAAAAAACCTACAATTTTGATAATTAGCAAATGCATATTTAATGCCATCATGTCATTAAAGAAATACTAGAGCCAGTAAAACAAATCTGAGAAGAGAAATGAAAACCAGACAGGTGAATGGGGCTGGAGCAATAGCACAGCGGGTAGGGCATTTGCCTTGCACGCAGCTGACCTGTGTTTGATTCCCAGCATCCCATACTGCTGCCAGGAGTAATTCTGGAGTGCAGAACCAGGAGTAACCTCTGTGCATAACTGGGTCAATAGCTGGGTGTGACCCTAAGAAAGAAAGAAAGAAAGAAAGAAAGAAAGAAAGAAAGAAAGAAAGAAAGAAAGAAAGAAAGAAAAGAAAGAAACCCTATCACCAACAGCACTGTAAATCACAATGCAAAAATTTAATTATTAAAAAAAAAGACAGATGAATATAACCTTCCCAAGATGGCATGTAGCCTTAAATGCCTGTGATGCCAGAATTTGAATTCAGAAATCAACACCAATTTCTTTTTTTTTTTTATTAGTGAAACACCATGAGGTACAGTTGTAGATTTACAGTTTTTTGTGCTTGGGTTTCAATTATACAATGATCAAATACCCATCCCTCCACCAGTGCCCATTTTCCACCACCATGGATAATATCCCCCCCACCCCCATCCCCCCCATCCCACCCTGCCTCAGTGGCAGGGCAATCCCTTGTGTTCTCTCTCTTCCTTTGGGTGTTGTGGTCTGCAAAAGAGGCATTGAGTGGCAAACATGTTCAGTCCATAGTCTACTTTCGACGTGCATCTCCCCTCCTGGGAGGATCCTCCAAACACCCTTTATTTGGTCAACACCAATTTCTTAAAATTACAAAAATAATATCAACAGGGTCAAATGAATTCAAGAGAGGAGATGAGGGTTCAAAGAGATAGGATAGGGGTTACGGCACTTGCCTTGCATGTGGCCAACCCCAGTTCAATCTCAGGCACCCAATATGTTTCCCAAGTACCATCAGGAGTGATCTATGAGTACAGAGCCAGGAGTAATCCCTCAGCACTGCCAAGTGTGCCCCCAGAAGAAAACAAATCAAAAAGTAAGGTGAAAGCACAAACCAAAGTATCAATTTGATTTTAAGAAGTTACACCTTGTGCTCAAAATGTAAGCAGTGATGTTTTTCCCATATTTTGTATGCATCACCGAAGAATGTTCACTCCTGTGAGAATAGGTGTAAGTCAAACTGGAGGAATGCAAACCTCGGTAAGCACCTCTGATGTGTCATCACTTCAGCTTACTGTTCTAACCCAGACAAGCACCATAGTTAAAGGTGCACAACTGTGTGTGAAACTCAGCCATCACATCAATAAGAGTAAAGGAAATGAGGATTGTAGAAGGGAATTAAAAAATTAAAATTAAAAAATTTAGTAATTAAATACTTTTAGACTCCTCAATTATACTTCAGCTTTATTTTTATATACTCAGGAAAAATATAAATATTCATGCACAGCATCCTTACCTAATATAAATATGTTCCCTCATGTGTCACAGTTTTGTTTTTTTAAAAAAAATATGTTCTGACATTCTACATCCTTTATACTTTACTATGCTACTGATAAATCTTCCTATAAAACAAACATTTTCTTACCAATCTATCTGTTCTTGAAATCACAGCTTTTTATTTTGCTGAAGTTAAAAATGAAATGTATTATTTTATTTCCCATCAGTAGGCCAAAAAGATGAGTTCCATTTTGCATATGACTCTGGTGGTATCATTTTTCACTGTAAATAAAATCAAAAGGTATGAAGCAAAATGCTAACTGTATTGGATTACTTCCCTAGTATAATACGAATATCATCCCATTACAATAAGCACATAAGAGAGATTAAACTCTTCAGTCTCAAAAAAACCTTTAAAACACTGACAAGATATTCATACTACTTTAAAACCTATACATTTAACCATCATGTCTTTTGTTTGTTTCATCTTCTCTTTTTTTTCCACAACACTTGTCCAAATATGGTTGGTAGTTAGTACCTTTGTCACTAAGTGCTACACATCACTTGTCCTTTGACCCACCCACTTCACACTGCTCTTTTCCTACTAGCTTACAGAAAATGTCTCAGTTTCTCTATTCAGCTTCTTCCTAACATCAGTATAAGATATTGGCACATTGACAGTAATGCAAGACTATTCTGCAATCCCTCTCAGATGTTATTTTCATAGTTTATTTTTATATAGTGAAAAAACACAAAAACTAGAGAAAAATTCTAAGAGTACAACCTGGATGAAAAAATGAAGGAGACACTTGTTCATGTCCATAGGTCAGAGTGTTGTTCCTACTATTGCTATAGAGATGCTGTCAACTAGTAAGTGGCCACATACAAACTTCGCTTCCCATGACAGTAACGTCCCCACTGCACCAACTCCCAAATGCCACAGCAGTGAGAGTAGAATTAGAAAAACAAATGGGAAACATTTGCAAGGCAAGCAAAAAGAGCCCCTTCCGATACTGATCTGTTCCCATGAATTGAAACAATGAGAGAAAGTCACTCTAATGTGAGATTGGCACTTACACAGAGGTTAATAATTAAAAATAGTTGTCAGAATGGCACCCTGGCACTCTCAGATTGTAGGGGTTTCTTTTTCAGTTTCTCTCAGGGATTTTTATAAACACAGTAGAATATGCACAACAATGCGGGGGGCCCCACCAGACCACTCCTCTGGCCCGCAGAGGTGGCCCTAGGGTCCATAGGTGCAAGGAGAAACCAATCGAATGAACACAAGACACAAGAGACACAATGCAGTTTAGAAGCAGAGAGAAAAAAAGGACAGGACAGAGCAGAGAGCACAGCAGATAGGACAGGACAGCACTTTATTCAGGGCAGCAAGGGTATTATATACCTTGCAACGCAGGAAACTATGCTTACATCACAGAAGGCAATTACATCACTACGTCATATCATATATGATTAGGAGAGTTATAAAGTCCACACGTTTCATATGCTTGGTTAATCAGTGTCAGTTATTTCTTATTCTTGGGCTAGCTGTGACAAATGTTTTCTATTAGATAACTATACATAGCTCAGGATATGCATAGGTTGCAGTCAGAGCAGACACAGTACCAGATTTGCGCAAGTCAGGACCCACTTATTCAGGGTCACGTAGGCCAAGATAACCATACATAGCACAGGCACATAGGTCCTTGGTCAGTTAAAGGGCCAGCTTCCCACACAACAAAATCGGAACTTTGTTCCTAACACCTCCGTTTGGTGATGTAGATCAGAGATTACCCATATTAACGCATCCCTATATTGACTCAGTTGATTTGATCCAGCTTAAGATCACACAGTATCGGGGCCAGAGCACAGGGGTTTGAGCTCTTGGTTGAATGTCTGGTATGATCCCAGTACTGTGTATGGTCCTCCAAGTGCTACCAGGAATGGACCCTGAGCAGAGTCAAGAGAAAGCCCTGAGCAGCCAGGTCTGAACCAATTTCCCAACAGCATCATCAAAAAAATTTTTTTAATTAAAATGTTAAAATAGAATCACACAGTAAAATCCATATTAATACTTAAGAATGAAAGACAAGTATATATCAAGCTGTACCATGATTTTCTTTTAACAAACATGCCAATAATTATTGTGTCTATAAAAATTTCCCAGGTTACCTTCAAATAATCAGATGGAGAAAAAATAATCTGGTGCTTTTTGTTGGTATCTTTCCTGTTGTACTATCTTTCTGGCCCATGGAAATAGAATTTTTGATTCAAGATCAAATTTACTGAAAGTGTAGGCTTATATTTATATGTTCTCTATTTCGAAAATGAGACAGTATATTTAAGGAAAACCTTAGAAAGCAGGGAATAGAAAGTAAAGGGCAATGATCATCTATAATCCCACATCCAGAATAAAACACAGATATGTTGGTATAATTGCCTCAAAGCTTTCATAGATAGATAGAGAGAAAGAAACTTTATATTGATGACTTCATAAATGTGCAAATGTACATATAATACAATATCTGCTTTAATTTTTCATGGAATTTAATTTATTGGGGAAGGGTGTGGTTGGCTCACAAGCAGTCATTTATAGGGCATACTCCTAGCTCTGTGCTCAGGGACCACTCTAGCTTTGCTTGAGACAATATGTGATACTACTGGAATCAACTGCACGCAAAGCAAGTGCTTAAAATCTGAATATCTTTCTGGCCCCTGTTTTCATTTTAAATCACTATAGTGTTGTCCAGAATAACATTTGTGTTACCTAATCCTCTACTACATATCTGTATTAATATTTAGCTTACTCTGTCTTTATTTGAAATTAAAATGATCTTTATGTTTTTCAGTATTTAAATAATAGTATCTCATTAAAGCAAGAGTTCAGAAATTCAAAAGTTTACTTTTAAATGGTAAAATTAGAATATGTATAGATATACTACTAGTAAAAATATTTCCGCACTAGAAAATACACTTATGATGTTACAACTATTTTTCAAATTGTCAGAATTCAGTTTATGAGGAAACTGGTGCATTACATTGCCCCTGTTTCAAATATTTATCACTGCCTTGCACGCGGCTGACCTGGGTTCAATCCCCCGCATCCCATATGGTCCCCCAAGCACCACCAGGAGTAATTCCTGAGTGCAGAGCCAGAAATGACCCCTGAGCATCGCTGGGTGTGACCCAAAAACCAAAAAAAATATAAAAATAATAAATAAATAAATAAATAAATAAATAAATAAAAATGTGGGGTGGGTAGAGAGAGATGGAGGATACTCATGATCTTTGGGATTAAGTGATTTTTTCAGAAGAATTGAAAACTTGCCACCTTTTAATTCTATCATTAGGTTACATTTAGAGAGCAACAATTCTGTGTAAGAAAGTTATTATTACTACCATTCTACTCTGTTCCTACAGGTATCAGCATACATTGTATTAGAGTTTTTAATATCAGAGCTCAAGAGGGGCCAGATAGGTATCTCATGGGGTTGTGCCAATGAACTAAACTTTGCATGCAGTAGGCCTGGGTTTGGTTCCTGGAATTGCATGATCTGCCCAAGAACCCAGGAACCTAGCTAGGACTACCCTGAGCACATCCAAGTATCATCCAATAGCAAACAAACAAAAATAAGAGCAAAGCTTAAAACCAGAAATCTGGTAACACCAGTGATAAAAAATGGCAGAAATGCTTTTAACATTAATGTCAAGTAAGAATAGAAAACATACTTACTGGAGGTAATCTATAAAAATTGGATTTAATTTTGACAGTTACAATCCAACATAATTTTTTTTATTTTGGGGAGGGAGTGGGGGACTTTTCTCAAAGCTTACTCCTGGCTCTGAGCTTGAGCATCACTCCTTGCAAGAATTAGGAGGCCATAAAAAGTGCAGGGGATCAAACTGAGGTCAGCAGCATGCAAGGAAGACAAATGCCCTTCCCACTGTACTATTTTTCCAGTAAACAAAGTATTTTTGTCCTAGCAATTATAAAATATGATGTAGTAACATACAAGATAAAGATAGATGTAGGTTTAAATTTTATTTTTCATCTATCAGTGAATTCTTAACCGTTCGTAAACTTAGATATGCTCATTTTCTCTTCTTTTATCTGTTTCATCTCATGTCCAACAGACTGACTATATTGTGTCCTATGCTTTTGCTTTCCATGTGATGTTGAACAACCAACTTATTTTGGGTGTGTTTATACTTCATCAATTCATCAAATATCTATGCATTGCTTGAAATTGTCAAAAGGAATGACGCCTTGTGGTCATATATCAGGGCACAAGTAAACTATGTTAAAGAACAAGGAAAAAATGAGATATTTGTTATTCTTATCAGAATTAAATGAAAGAATCATTGCTTCCCTTTTTCAAAAAGTATATATAGCATGGCCTGCTAGACTTTGAAAGAAAATAGTTTAAAAATAAAAAATGTGCGAAGTTTAGTCAATAAAACAATAGCAGTTGAAGAAATTTTGCTACTTACAAAAATTACTATTTACAGTATTATGCTATAAAATCTTTATATGTCAACTTATACGTGTGTGTAATTGTTCCTTCAGATAAACAGCATCTTCAGCTAGGATGAGAGAGAAAACCATTGTCTTTATTTCCCACAAGTAAGAAAATTAGAGAATAAAAGGTTTTTTTTCTTTGCTTTCTGGGTCACACCCAGGAATGCACAGGAATTGTGCACTCAGGAATTACTCCTGGCAGTGTTTGAAGGACCATATGGGATGCTGAGAATCGAACCCGGTTCAGCGGTGTGCAAAGCAAATGCCCTACCCACTGTGCTATCGCTCCAGTCCCTAAAAGATATTTTCGTTTTTAAAAAGATGTCTTGTTTTCTCAATTAAAAAATACATATACATGCACATACATACATACTTATATAAACACATACAGATATTTTATATATGTGTATATATGTATATATATGTATATGACAGAGGAAGAACTTACAAATGTTTGGAAAAATCACAGCATACTCTGTAGCCCAAAACATAAATAACTATATTTACACTCTCAAATTAGTTTTGTGGAGTTAATATTTTCGTCAATGCTCCTTTGAATACTAAATATTCTGTTAGACTATGATTTTCTTAAAAATAATGATAACATCTTATTTATCACTACATCAAATATAGTTCAAATATGCGAAACCAGTGCAACTATAAAAAGAAAATTCATTTTATTTAAAAATATTGTTTATAAATTATTTTTACTGCAAATAAAATGAATTATTAGTTTAGTGTTTATGAACTCAATAAGTTGATG